GCTGGACACACTTTCCTTATTTTCTCCACAACAAATGGCCAAGCAAGCGCAGACACTGACAAGATGCGCGATACAGAACGAGACCAAATGCGATATCGTCTCCACACAGTTTAAATTTAAATACAGAAATGCATTGCCATTTTGCATATTGCATTTTAAATTGAATTTTGCTACCTATATGCTTCCATATAATTACACTTAAGTGCCCGGTTGCATAAAGCACCTGAAGTGTAGTCTTCCCTTAAGATCACCCTTAAGTAGTAGAAGTAACAGCAGTGATATCTGCAGCTGAGTGTGGTGTGAGCCTCGCAGACTCTCCTGTGTCGTGTTTATGTGTGCAGTCAGTAAGAGTCAGCCGCTGAAGCTGCAGTCACACAATGAGGTCTAAACTAACCACCCCAGCACATGACTTCAATATTCTGGGTCGAATTCCTGCCAGTCTTGTCTCATCTACTCAGAGGAGTGATGACAAACTGTGCAACTCCGTTAACTCATTTCCCTGAATCTTTGTGTGTATGTGTGTGTGTGTATGTGTGTTTTAGCTTAATTTAATGTAATCTAGAATAGCTAATAAATTCTTGTTTATCCTCTCAAAACCTGAATTATTTAATAATAATTAATTCCCTAAGAAAAGTAATCTGACATTACAATGGTTTTACCTCTTTTCAAGGCCAAATGTATCTGTCAACTGATAAAGAAAACACAGCAAACTCTATGTGCTATTGTGCATTGCACAGCATGGACTTTACTTTCAGTTACTACTGTAGGCTCATTTAGTAAATGTAAGCTATTCATTTAAATGATAGAAAAAACGCAAACTGGGTGCTTAATGCAAATGTAATTGGCCACATTTACAAAATCAGGTGATTGTGTTCGCCCATCTATGCAAATGTCTCTTTATGTATAGAGACAAAAGTATGATGTTAATCACTGTCTGTCAGTTTATTGTGATCTTGTGTTTGCAAAAACACAGAGGGAAGATACATGTGTACACCAGAAAAAATATTCAGCTTTTGGTTTATCTACACAACATCTTTAAGCAAATAGTGTTAAATTTGATCTAAATTAATTCTAATTTTAATCTACTTTAATTTGAATCTAAATGTGATCAAATTTAAATCGGATACACTTCCGAAGATAGACTTTGTTTCATGTGTTTTTTTACCTTTTTTTTATCTGGACATAAGTTCTCGTGATCAGGGGGGTATTCCAGAAAGCAGGTTATGTGGCATACCCGGGTATGTTTGAGGATAAGCGAGCGGATAACCTCAGCTTTCGATTCCAAAATCAGAGGTTACTTTCAGGGCATGTAAGTAACCATAGTGACTTGCTCTCTGAAGATAACCTGCTCCGGAGCAGCTTCTGTTCCAGGATTAGTTCACTTCAGATCATGTGATCTACTGACAAGCCTTCAGTGGGCATGAGAGATAGCGCACAACTGGTGATATTTTTGTGCAACATTTGCGACTGCTTTTTATCACTTAATTAGAAGCACCACAAATTAAAATTGTCATGTTATAGGGACTACTGAACAGACATTTAGAAGTTGTTTTTAAAATACAAAGTATTTAAAATTAAAATTTTAATAAAGCTATGTAAACACTTGCATTTTTACAACACTACAAGTGTGTCCCATCAGGTAATGAAAAGTTCGACACACACTTGTGGTCTTCATGCTCACTTGAACACTTGGGCCAAATACAGGACATACGTCATATAAGTAGTCAAGTGGTCAAGTGCAAAGACTGCAAGTGTGGGTATTTGGACAAAGCTAATAACACATGGCCTAAGGCTTATAAGGCTTTAAAAACGCCTATCCCAGTGTGAAAACGCCCAGTAATTGGGAAACGCCCCCTTTGCTCTGTGTCCGAGAGCTGGAGCGCTTCCTCCAGACAGATTCATTTCATTCCGAGGAAGACGACAAGACACGCGTTTAAATCCTCGTCCTGCCTTCATCTGATCGATGTGTGAAGATTGGACAGTTATTCCCTAGAGTTGAGCTGAGAAGCTAATGTGGACGCCAGTTTGTGCAGAGTTAATGTAGTTTTTGACCAACTTTTTCCACCTTTGATGTAGGCTGGTTTCTAGGGAGAAATTATGATTGTAGTAGTAATGAAGTATTCGCTCTCTTGCTGTAGATCATTATGATGTTGTTTGAGAAGTAGTTTCTGATCCTCAAAGCTTTGGAACGCAGACGAGTCTTCTGAGGAGAAGTGAGCAGTTCACTGTATTTCACATATAAACATTAACACGAGACACGCGAACCGTTGGCTGCTGCGATTTTATTTAACGCTTCTCTTTTGAGATTTATCTTCGGCACATCAAGTGTGTTATAGTCGGTTTTACAGCGCGATAAAGTTAGTGTTAGGTTCTATATCCGCTGGATGCCTGGAGAAGTGCGGATACTCCTAATTTATGCCCAGCAAAGGATGAACGGCCTACAGTATGATGTAAAGAGTGACATGTAAGACTATCCTGCATATTGCATATTTCTTGATATTTACTTGACCCCCAAAACGGGGCAGTAGTACTTGCACATTTTCACTTAACTTATGCCACTTAACTTTACGAAGTAAGGATCGTTATGAAATTAATATTAGCCACAGAAGAGGTGCAGATTTTGCAATTAATAATTAAAATGTAAAAAATTACATGGACTGCAGCAATTAACATTTAGTCAGATCCTCTAAATTACAAGCTATTTTGTTTAGTTATCTGTTCAGAATCGTAGGAGTATCATGATCTCTATTTGAAAAAACAAAAATCGTGATCAATTTATCCAGAATTGTGCAGAATTATCCAATTATTATTATTATCCAAAATAGAATCCCAATATTTAAATACTGTATCGACCCGAATATAAGACGACCTCCCTTTTTCAAGATGTACCTTTTGGAAAAAGTCTTTTTGAAAACCAAATCTTGTTTTATAAGAAAAAAACATTTTTTCTTAAATTATAATAATATTGCATATTTTTGTTTTGAAAGTATGGTGAATACTGGTAAAATGTACCATAAAAATAACAGGTAGCCCATCTGAATTCTATAACAATTAGGCAATCCATCTCATCTAGCCTTTCATTATCAGCAGAAGTGAAATCGTATTGTAGTCTTCAAATCTGTGTACTGTCTCACCACCTTTGGTTTTAATGAGAGAAGAAAAAAAACTACACGAGGGTGGATCAGAACCCAGAACCTCGGAAATGCTTGACAAAAGTTCAACCGCTAAACCACTAAAGCTCACACCAACTAATTACACGAATTTATATATTTATTCAGTTCTGTGAAGAATCTCGGTACTAATTGTATTTTATTATTAATACGTTCATTATTAATTTATATTACTATAGTCGCTTTCAATGTGGGCAGGGCCCGCGTGCGCTGCGGGGCCCCCCCGCGGCACGGGCCCCAGTGCGGCTGCACTGCCTGCACTGTCTGTAGTTACGCCACTGGTCTCACGCTTTAAAATCACTTACAGAGGAAGTGTGTTCCCATCAGGCTAACACGCAGCTGTAAGCTTTTCTTTTTCTTGTGTTTTCACTCGCGATCTTCTAACATTATTACAGCACACATTACATTCAGGGACGGTTCTAGGGGGCCCCCATCAACAAGCTTGGCCCCCCTAAATTTGGAATCCTATCACACCAAACTATTTTGGGTGAAATGTGCAGGTTGTCCTGTGAACTATATAAAAAAGAAAAACATGACCAGCTGCTAAATTCAAATCTGCGTTCGCTGGCTGGCACAGAGCCAGAGACACACACGCGCTTTTAGAGCGCTGCGCATTATAACCAATCACACACGAGTCTGTTGAGCTTATGAATGCAAGGACCAATCAGAGGCGTTCAGATGAGTCACCGCTGAAACACGCTGTGTTGATTGAATGAATTCTCTGGTTATTCTGGTAAACAACACAGTGAAGATGTACGAATGTAAGTAAGCTATTAATTTCACAGTGTAAACAGCTTTAGAGATTATTATGGGAGTTTTTGAGAGTGCTGGGCTCGCTGGACTGAAGTGAAAATGTTGATAATGTAAAGGTTCTTTGCTCTCTTTTTGTACAATGAAAGTGTTACAGGCTAATTAGTAACTTACAATGTTTTTATTAAATTTACATTAAATACAAAGTCAGTCCTATTAAAAATATTTTATGGTATGACACCCATATCTGGTACTTAAGTAAAAAGACGGATTTTTATGCAAAGTTAATAGATTACACTATTAAGCTACTTTGCCCATCGCCCATTATAGATAAACTAACATGATCTATAAAGATGCAAAATGCATTTGCAGATATTTCATGATATATTTTGGGAATATTTCATATATATTAAAAAAAAAATAATAAAACCCCTGCTGAAAAAAACAATATGCACCATTACATAATTTGTAATGGTTTTACTGGTTATAATGGGACTACAGCACACTACAGAAAACCATTTTTTAATGGTTTTAATGGTTAAAAGTTGATGGTTTGTAATGTTTGTAATGTTAATTGTAGTGGAAACCACTGATATTTTCTATGGTTATTTTATTGTTTGTTTTTTCCAGTAGGGACATAAGCCTATATCAGTTATACAGTGGTCTTATGGCTGTTGTGTGTCACGTGACAAGCATGAGAGCCCCCCCCCCTTCACTCGTGCCCCCTCTAAAATAATGAGTTCATGATGCCCCTGACACTACAATACAAAATTATGTCAAATAAATTAAACATGATGACACATTCATTTTAGTTTAAATTGTTATAGATTACTTCTAGAGAGTGCAGTGATACACGATCATTTCTCAAAGTGTGTACGTGTGATTCACAGAACGAATGTACTCGCAGAAAACGTGCGTGCGCCTCTCTTTTAGATGTGAAATCTATCAATTGCAATGATCTTGAAATTGTGCGCAGCAGAACAGTTTCAGATCTCCGCCTTGTAAACAATGTCTAATTAATGTCCTTGACTTATAAAAGAGCACCTGACAATGTCCAAATCTTTACGAGCAACAAGAATGGCTTATATTTCCAAAAACCAGCAGCACTCGAATAACAAAAGTGCGTACGTCTGCTCAGACCCTGACGTGGCGCTAAGCTCTCTTCCACGTCAAAGACTGTTTTTATTAATATGAACGGTGCCGTGGATTTTTGCACATTTTATAAATGAGGCCCCTGGTCTCTTCAAAGATAGAGTTTGGAGGACATCTGCCTCACTTACATAAATGCTTAAATGTGTAAATTAATTAAAAAATAACTGATTTATTGTTGATTTTGGCAGATCTGCTTCTTCCTCACAGCAATTCATGTTCAGTGAAGCTCCTCCCACAACAATCACACATTCAGCAATAAATGCTGGAATATCTCCATCAGTTCAGAAGTGAAGACGAGCATCAGAGCATCAGAAAGAGCTGAAATCTGATCAAATACTGAGGACAGAGAGAAGATGAGAGATCCAAAGCCCTGCAGAATCAAACACACTGAAGATACTGAAGAACTAACAGGTTAGTGTTCATTCTTCATTCTTCACTAATAATGCTGACGGTTATAAAGCTTTTATAAAGTATAACGTATTATAAACTTCTTATAAAGTAGTTTTAGATTGTGTTTGTTGCAACTGGAAAAATCTTTAGGGCTCTACAGTAATATAGATAATCAAATAATAAGGGATGTTTTTCTGTAAACTGGGTACTTTTTTTTAGCAAAATTATTTGTTAGGTAACTGTGTTGTTGATCAAACATATTTAATAGTTCTCCCTATAGAAACCTGGAAATTGAGCCTATAATGTTTTAAAAGTCATAATTTGAAATCAATGTGCCTCATTCATGAAAGGTTTCTGGGATGTATATATAAAATATACAGTGTATTTATAAAACTCAGTAGTGAACTGTGCATTGTCACCTAACTCCCTGGTTGGGGAAAACACACTACCAGCCTAGTGTAAGGCCTCGGCTGAACAGACCTACAGCTATTGAATAAACCCATTCCAAAGCAGCATCTGGAGATTCTCAGCTCGTAAAACTGATCAACGGCCAGCATCAGCGCCCTGTTGTCTGGAGCACGTGTTAAAAACCTAACTCAATCATGGGAGAAGAGAACTCCCCTTTAAGCAACATATGGCTCAGGACACTCGTGATCCCTGTGCATAAATTCAGGGGTGGGTGATACGGCGAAAATATCATATTACGGTTTTATCACGATTCTGTGTCATGTTGGTTTGACTGTTTTGACTGAGCATTACAGCCAAACTCATTTCCCTATTAGAAGACAAAGCCTTTAAAGGGAACAAAATATAAAAAAGAATGGCTGATATTTAGGCCAAAGTGGGCGAAGATAAAAATCTTTGTCATTATTTTATCTTTGTTATAAAAAAATAAGAACAAAGATACACATTACAAATACACATAATATACAAATAAAACGGTGCTTTATTTTCAGATACAATAGGTGTATTTAGCAGGAGCATTCAAGAAACTGAATTAACAAATATAAAAATAAAACACTATATGGATTGATTCCTGTTACTGTATAGTTTTTCAGTCAAGAGTAATGAGTGATTTTTCTCTTTGTGTTTTGTTGTTTTATCAAATTTATTTTATTTATTTATTAATAGTTCACCCAAAAATGAAAATTCTGTCATCAGTCAATTCTGTAGTTTTTTATTTTTATACCCAGGGGTGCGCATGCGCGACCAAAATAAAAATTGTAAATAAGTTCAGACCGCTTTGTGTACCGACATGGTTGACAGCTGTTAATGCACAATTACCATTTTAGATCGACAAACCGTAATACAATATAAGATTTCTATTCGAACTGAAAGCATAAATCTAGGCAACCCGCTGCCGTTTTCAAAGCACAAAGCAAAACTGTGACATTTCATTGGTTCTTTGCTGACACTCTTCACTCTGCAGTGCAAACACGACAGCGCATATACTTACTTGCCGGCAACACGCCAAAATAAAAGCTTGCTGGTTTTAAATTTGAAAATGATAAATTCATATATATATAAGTAAATATTAGCATTTTATTTTTAAGTTTACTAAAAAATAATTGTATTTGTATTTAATGCTCCCTTTTTATTTTAAAACACAATAGTATTATCACACTTTATTATTTTGTTTATTTTATTAAAAAATAAATAAAGTGCAATAATATTGTTATCACTATTATTATTTTTTATAGTTATATTTAATGGGTCACACCATGTGCAGTGTGAGGACCAAACCAAATCTCCAGGTGCTCTTTTGAGAACCATGCTAAAACAATTATGTGCACCCCTGTTTATACCATCTTTTCC